TGAAACATCCTCAGAACATTGCAGTCAGGATTTTCTGCCTTTATTCATTGATTTCAGTACAAGAACATCTGATGAAGAAAGAACGTATGTTCTGTCGTTTGAGGTCTTAACATCTCAAACATGTTTCCTGAATGTTGCATTGATAACATCTGTACTGTTGTTATTGTGAAAACGTTATTATGGAAGAATGTTCTATAATGTGTTATCTTAAGAAAAAAAAGGGTCATATTTTCTGCCTTTAATATCTCAACACAGAAACATTATAAATTGTTCTGTTAAAAAAAAAAAAAAGAAACATTATCTGTGTTCCTGATAACATCGTCTTTATTTAAATTTGATAGGAACATTTCTGAAAAATGAAAATGTTGTCAAAACGTTCCTTAAAGATTTGATTAAAGCATTTTCTTGTTTTTATTTCCAGAACATGTGGGTAATGTTATTAATGTTGTTGGAACGTTCCCTGCCTGCTGCAATGGGACTGTTTTCCAAGTGTTTCTGCAGAGTTTTCAGATTTTCCAGAGACTCCAAATACGAGTGTGTTCCTGTAAAATGTGTGAACGGCATCAAAGCCGTAGAGCCTCAGCAGAAGAAAACTGTTTCTCTGTTGGTTCTGAAGACGTTTCACCTTGATCCAAGAGGGTTCTTTAGTTCTGACTGATGTGGAGAAGCCGTGACTCGAGGTGTTCATGGTGGAGGAAGTTCCTGGACTGCATGATAAGAACCTGATAGGTGGTGTCATAGATCCTGGTCTGTTTAAAGACCACTTTGAGATGTTCCTTCACTTGTTGTTTCAGAGAGTGCGTTGGGGCGACAGTATATATCTGGGATTCCCAGCTAACATGTAGTTCACTCAGTTTCTTTGCCTCAAGTCTCTTGTTTTGTGCCTCTAAAGGCAAGAAGCCAGATCTCAAAATAAAGTTGTGTGTTTTTTAAACTATTTTGTCAGAAACTGTTGTGTTTCAGTCGTCAGGACCAGTTTGATCAGCTGTGCTGTAGTTCTGGATCTGCTCATCAGTTTTACAGGAGCTCTGATGTTACTTCCAACTAATAAGTGAGAATCATAACACAGATAGCAGGTATTTACCAAGGGTGACCTCACTGAACCTGAAGGCTCGTTTTCATCGACATCCTGCTTCACACTACAGGATCACTGCTGTAATGCTTCAGATTAATTTATTTGAACATGATCATGTTCTAGATGTGCAAACACTTAAAATCAACATGAATGATCAGCTGCTAAAAGGCTGACGACAGTCACAGTGCTCCTTTGATTAGCACCAGTTTGCACTATGAAGCAAAACCAAATGCTGTTTTTACTCTCTGACACAAAACTGACAATTTTATTCTTGTTGAGTCTAAACTAATCACAGATTAGATTTTTGAGTTCATGAAATTTTAAGATGATGTAGCATTTAAGATATTTCCTCTTTTCTCTGTTGGAGATCAATTTGTGGGACAAAAATTCTGTAACAACTGCAAAAGTATTCAGTGTTGGAACTCTTTCAGGTGCAACATTTAAAGGCAACGACGACAGACGTCAAACAGAGCAGCTTGTTTCAGAGCTTTAGTCTTTTATTCTTGCACAAACACAGATGATTTTCATTTCCAGAATAAAGCTGTGCTAAAAACGATCATGGCATACCAAACTCCGTCTCATTAAAGATTCAGAAGAAGCAACCCGTTGAATTTGTTTCTGTTGCATCGTTGCTTTTTTCCTTAAGTTGCGTTGCAGCGATAGAACTACGATAGAGATGCAAATTGAGATACTGAGGCTTCATCTAGGCTTCAGATTTTTTTGGCGCAGACGGATGGTTTCGGAGTGTGACACTGAAAGTCGTCCCAGCACTTCTGAGCTGCAGGAAGCAAAAAGAGAGAGAAAAAAAGTGCATCAATAAATGTTGCACTGAGCTAAACCTCAAACTCAAAGGCTGACTGATTTACTTATGTGCAAACACACACGCGTATGTTTAAAAAGTGTGTCTTATCTCGACCACAAAAAGAAAACAGGGGATGCAAAATAATCCAAACGCGAGACAAAATAACCTCAACTTGGTACCAGATGGCCTCAAAAAGATCAAAAAGAACCAAAATAAATTACCACAAGGGGACGCAATGCCATTGAAATGAGACAGAAAATGACCAAAACAGGACAAAAACAGTCATAAAGAGATACAAAAAGATGACAGAGAGGCACGAAAATTACCACAAAGAGATGAAATATCCCAAATGAGTCAGAAAAGCAAAGACGAGAGTGAAAATAAGACGTAAAGCGACCACAAAGAGAGCAAACGGCAACAAAAGACGTAAAAAATCAGAGAGAAAACTGCCATTCCTGTCTCATTAATCTCTCTTTTTTTGTTTTACCTGCGTGGTTTATTCTCAGGCAGTGCTGCGCGCCCATGTGGTCGTTCGGCTCTCCAGGACACCAGTTGACATAAATGAAAGGCGTGCCGTCGCTCCAGAGCCACTGGTTCTCCTGCAAGACAGAACAACACTGAATGTTGGAACACGATCAAACGAGCTTTATTTTGATGTGCAACGAAAAATACCTCCTGAGCGTCGGAGCCTCCAATCCAGGTTTCTTTGTACTCGTAGCTGACCGTCATTATCAGCCTCTGAATCTCCTGGTACTCCATGATGTTGTGGACAGACGCCAGGTTTCCGCCCAGAGACTGACAGTTTCTCTACGCAAGCACCAGCAAATACAAAGAAAAATGAACTGAGTGAGAAAACGTTCCTTATCAAGTTGAAGTCTCCGTGGTTTACCTCAGCTCGAGCCCAACTCAGGGATCTGGGAATGTACTGGAAACAGCGACCGTTGAACTCCGACCAGCGGCCGGAACAAGCGGCCGACCTCTTGACCAGACGACTTTCTGCTGAGGAGAAACAAATTGCTGAAATAATGTGCAGTCTGCATGCACCTAAAGCGCTTGTAGGTTTTTCCATCCATCCATCCATCCATCCATCCATCCATCCATCCATCCATCCATCCATCAACCTTGTAGGTTTTTGTTTTTCTTTAATCAATAACTGTATTTTGATTCCATTTGGTTCTCACACGATCACCACAAATGGAAAAACTGGCAGCAAAGAGATGCAAAATGAACGGAATTAGACGTAAAATTATCACAAAGAGATAGAAAATGACTTTAAAGGGACATAAAAGTTCCAAATATGACACAATGAGATGCAAAACAACCAAAAAGATCCACAAGAGAGACGTTTAAAGCCGTTAAACAACCACTAAGATGTCAAACGATCAACATTCGATAGAAAACCACCATGGAGAGAAAATGACCATAAAAAGACACCAAATGTCTCAAATGTGACACAAAATTGATGCAAAACATCTAAAATAGCTTAAAAAAACCCACAAAACTACCAAAGGGAAATACAAAAATAACCACAAAAAGACACGAAACGTCTTAAATGTGACAGAAAAGAAATGCAAAACTAACAAAACGAGACACAAAAGATGTGTGAAACAGCTGCAATGAGAAAAACTGGCAATAAAAAGATGCAACATGTGACGTTAAACTGTATTAAGACACACAAAATGTCCGAAATGTGGCACAAAGCAGATGTTGTTGTTCACACATCTGCAGCACTGATACCTGACGACACGAGACTCACCGGCAGCTCGAGTCGAAGTCAACATGATGCAAACGAGCACAGTCAACGTTCTCATGATGCAGCTCGACTGAAGAGAAATCACTCAGAGCAGATTTGGTTTAGTAAAGGAATACCGTCTTCTGCCTGTGCAGCTCATCTGTCCGGCTATTTATCGCTGAAAAAAAAACAAAAAAAAAAAACAGGAAACTGAGAACAGACACAGAAACATCCTCATGAGATGCAGAACACTCAGAAACACGCTAAAGTTTTCCTGCTGCATCATGTACATGCATCAAACTGAATGCACGGACAAACGTCACTGCAGAGCATCTGCAGACACACACAGATCACTAAACGTCGTTCTAGAAATACAAGACGCTCGTCTATCCCAGACAAAGACGCAAAAACCCAGAACGACACACAAAAGGGACGTCGAGTGACAGCAAAGAGACAAAATGGCAGCGATGAGATGCGAAACGACCAAACTTAGGTACAAAACCATCTTAAATTGACCGTAAAAGGTTCCAAATGTAACGCAAAAGAGAATCTAAACAGTTGAAGTGACCACAAAGACACAGAATCGTGTCAAGGAGATGCAACACAGGCAAAGTTCAGAGAAGACAAAGAGATGTTACACAAAGGACATGTAGAATAACTAACATGATACAAAAGGGACGCAAAGCGACTGCAAAGAGATGCAGAACAAGTAATTTCACACCAAACCACCATAAAGCGATCCAAAAATGCACACACAGAGATACAAAATGTTCCAAACGAGACTCAAAAGAGATGCAAAGCAACGAACTGGACGCTCAAAACACCTACAAAACGACAAAATGGCAAGAAAGACGTGCAAAAGTACCATAAAGACACACGAACTGGCAACAGGAAGTCCCAAATGTGACACAGAAGACATGCAAAATGAGCAAAATGACAAAAAGAGATGCAAAGTGACCACAAAACTACCATAAAAATACACAAAATGTTCCAAGTGTGGCTTAAAATGGATGCAAAAGAGTCAAACTCACGGGAGAAAGAGACGTAAAATGACACAAAAGAACCAAACTGTGACACTAAATGAGCAAAGTAAAGTTCAGATGAACACAAATGGCTGCAAAAAGAGCACAGAGTTGCACAAAAGGAACGATATGAAACACAAAAGAAGTGCATTCAGTTGGGGTTTCTTGGACAAGTCGAGGCCTTTTCCATGTTTTTGTGCAGAAGCCTGTTTTTTATGTTCATCCATCTTCAGCAAAAAAGAAAAAATGCTTGTCACTCAACAGGACGTCCTCAAATTCTGTGTGTTTTTTTTTAGCAAGAAAATAAGGAAACTTTCCAGATCAGAGGACTTGTCTAATTGTGGAAACGTCTTTTTCTGGTTCTAAGGTTTCGTTGGGGGGGTAAAGCTGCTTTCAAAGGACAGTGTCATCAGTGGTTAGATTAATTATTTGTCCTGTTCTGCCCTTCATTTGGTTTTGGGGAACTTTACTGCAGGAACGCGACAGAAGTGGCTTCAGTTGGTGCTGCATTTGGCAAATTTGCTTCTTTCGATGAAAGGACAGATTTTAATGAATAGTTCATCCAAACTTGACACATCTGCTGAGTGGCTTCAGTGTGTTTTTTAGCCCTTTTTTGTGTGTTTATGCTTTGAAGGCAGATCTAAGATGCATCTACTGCCTCCTGCTTTCAAATTAAATCAGGCGTAACGTTAAAACGTCAGCTGGAGGCCGTGTTTTTAGCTCACGTCTGCTTGAACAAGCTTACGACAGATTTCAAGTCATTTGTCGACTTCTTTAATTTCAGATGTGCACATTTATAACCCTGCACGTGTTGCAAAGATAAGACAGCGTGATCAGGAAAAAACAAAACATCTGAGAAGTGTTGTGAAACACTGACTGACACGTTCTGTGACTTTGGTGAGACGACACTCACGCATGACGATGCAACATGCAAAACCTGTCCAGTTGTTCAGCANTGAAACACTGACTGACACGTTCTGTGACTTTGGTGAGACGACACTCACGCATGACGATGCAACATGCAAAACCTGTCCAGTTGTTCAGCACAGATCACTGTGGTGCAACAGCTTCTCAGAACGTGCCAACAATTCATAGGAGCAACGACATTTCAAGATGACTGGTTCAACAGTATTCAGAACTAAATGTACGGACAAAATGTCCCAAATGTGACAAAAGAGATGCAAAACAGCGAAATGAACACCCAAAGGAGATGGAAAGTGACGACAAAGAGACAAAACGGCATCGAAAGAGATGAAAAACGATCAAAATTACCCACAAAACCACAATAGAAAGACAAAGGAAATGCAAAACGGCACACAAAAGAGATGTGAAATGACCACAAACAGACAAAACAGCAACAAAGGCACGCAAAATGACCCAAATACGCCAAATAATGCGATTAATGCAATCCGAATAAGAAGGAAGATGTGACAACTGTCAGTGCAGTAAATGACAATTCTGGCAACTATCACCCCATCTCCATTTTGAGGGGACACCGTTGCTACATCCAGGGCTGAGCTCGGCCCAAGTCAAAGGAAGAATTGGTTTCCATTTCGGACATGTAGTTGTGCACTGCCGAGTAGTTTCACAATGTTTGGGCGGAGCTGTAGGTGAGCTGGTGTGCTTGAGCTGCAATGAGTGTAGAAAGAGGCAGAAAAATCCCAGTCCGCTGTGATTGGTCAGCTGGCACGGCCAAGGCCATGACAGTAACCTCACATGTGAGAACAGAGAGCGACGCCTGCTGGGGACACAACTGTGAAACTGGCATCCTGGTGTCAGCAATAAAAAGTGATTTCAGGATGCATATTTCTTTCTGGGCAGCTGATTGGAGTGGCAGGACACATGACTAGTCGTGGTTTGTAGGATTGTGAGGGCGACCACTGCTTCAGAAGAAGAAAGCATCCAGGTATCTGCAACATGACACGCTGCTACATCCAGGACTTAACTCGGCCCAAGTGGAAGAATGACGAAGACTAAAAATTGATTTCCAGTTCGGACATTCGTCCACACCCTGCCAGACCACAGACCTTCTTACCATGTGCTTCTGCGTGTAGTTTCACAATGTGTGGGCGGAGCTGTAGGTGAGCTGGTGTGCTCGAGGTGCAGAAAGTGTAGAAAGAGGTGCCCTGATGTGACGTGTTAAAGCTCAGTGTGCAGCAAAG